AAAAAATTTAAATAAAATAAATAAAAAAAAAGTCAGAACCCTTCTGCTTCCTTAGCCACCTTCTATTCGTTCTCTTTTTTTACTTTTTAGACAAAAGAAAAACCACCTCTTGATATTGAACAAAGTTTTAGAGATTTTTACAGATACTAATTAAAATGAATAAATAGATTGTTACCATCATACTTTTATAGTGTTAAAGATCTGAGTCAGCCAACTAAATTTTCTTTTTCTGTATTTATCGTTATTGCTTTGTAAGTTAAAGGAGAACTATAAGAACATAAACATCCTTTATAGTTACATTTTAGTGGCATAAAGGAATTGTGAGATGAAAAATAGACTTCAAATCAGAAGAGTCTGACTTGAAAACAGATTGGCAGCCGTTATGACCCCGCTTTCTGGTACATGGCCTCCTAAAGCGCAGCTAAATGATACTGGCATACAAGGGCAGGTTAAAATCATTCCAAAAAGATTGAGAGGACTCAGATTCAAAATTTATGAAATTATAAAGGGTGTACATTGAACATACCATGTTTTTTCTTTACTGATTTCTAGAAAGAATGCATATTTCTTAAAGTTTGCAAAAGCATAGTATAAGTTCAGTATTTCTTATCTGAAATGCTTGAAATAAAACATATTTCAGATTTTTGAGGTTTTATGTCTTTATTTTATTTTTTACAATTTTTGTATAGAGAGGGCCAGCAAGATAGCTCAGCAGACTAAGCACCTGCTTTGGCAAGTGCAGGGACCAGGGTCCTGCATGCCCTGCTGGCCCTGCCTCGGAGACACACTGAGCAGGCTACCAAGACCAGGCGTGGTGGCACACACTTGTGATCCCAGTGCTGGGGAGGCTGAAAACAGGAGGATCACTATGAGTTTGAGCTGTATAGTGAGACCCTGTACTAAATACATAAGTGAAAAAAATAAAATAAAAAATAAATGAATAAATAAATGGCATTAAAAAAGAATTTTTGTATGGACTTTATAGTTGAGTATTCAAAATCTAAAATGTTTCAAACAAACATTTACTTGAGAGACAATATGGCAGTAATTGGTATGTCATGACAAGCAGTACGTATTCAGAAGACCAGAGTGACAGGCACTCCACGCATGACCCTACCATTGCACACTGCGATCTTCAGTGCAGCTGCTTAGTTCACAGGTGTCAGCATATATAACTAATCAGGGTGAGAATCCTACCAAGTAACTGCTAGTTTCCAAAACCTGCTGAAGATTCTCAGGATCATTGCCTTACCCATCTTGTGCATATAAATGTATGGTTTTGCCCCGAAGACAACAATATGCAATGTATTAATTATTGAAACTGTCCTATTAACCAGTTTTGAAACTGTCTCATTGCTACTTGTTTTACAATAAAAATTTTTTTTAGAAGACCATTGTGATCACCTTCTCAAATGTAAACAGTCTGCTATAACATATCAGTTATCAGTTTTCCTGGCACTATTAGGGAAGTATGCCTCCTTATCCTGGTAATTTTCGATCTTATTTATATTGTATATCAAATTTTTGTAAATATAGGTTTTATTTCTGCAATTTGTCTTCTTAAAAAGAAAATAAAATGTTTCAGAATCCAAAACCTTTTAAAACATTATGTCAATGCAAAAAAAGTTTGAGTTTTAGATTTTTCAACCTACAATATAAGATTGTGAAAGAAGGTACCCTTTTATTATTTATTTATTTATTTTGCATTTTAGGACAGAGTCCACAGGGTCTTACTATGTAGATTGGATTTGTAGTGATTCTCCTGTTTTCAGCCTCCCAAGTGCTGGGGTTATAGGTGTGTGCTGCCACACCCAGTCTCAATCTCTGTCTCAGTGCACCCTGGGGGCAAGGCCAGCACAGCATGCCAGGAATCGAACCTGGCCACAGTACTCTGCCCAAGCAGGCACTTTAATCCACTGAGCTATTTGGCTGCCCTAAGGAAATACCTTTTTTAAAAAAACATTTTATAAATTTTCCTTTCCTAAGAAAATACATAAAAGTACTAGCAAAAAACATAAAAGTACAATTAAATCTAAATCCATGAATGGATCTTCAATGGTGTTTAAATTTTTAGTGTTTCTTTTTTGTTTTTGTTTTTCAAGACAGGATCTCACTATGTAGTTCAGACTGGCCGAGAACTCACTATTGAGTTCATGTACTAGGGAGCCAGGATGGCCCCAAACTCACAGCAGTCCTGCCGCCTCAACCTCCTGAGTGTTTGGATTACAGGTGTGCACCACTAGGCCTAGCCAAAAGTTTTAATGTTTCTTGAAGAAACACTGCAGAAATTCTGGATGCCACTGTTCTGGAGCATTCCTTGATGCACCATCTGGAATAACGTGGAACTGGACAGATAGTGACATAATCTGGGATAGCATGTAACTTATTAGGGTGATCAGTAATCAGAATCGTTCTTTTTTTTTTTTTTTTTTTTTTTTTTTTTTGGTGGAACCGGGAATTGAACTTAGACCCTTGCACTTGCCAAGGAAGCGCTTATTCCACTGAGCCATCTCCCTGGCCAGAATCATTCTTATAAAAGTGTTTCATGTGTTTCTTTTAGGTATGTAAAAGAAGGAGATACAGTGTCTCAGTTTGACAGCATCTGCGAAGTTCAGAGTGATAAGGCTTCTGTTACCATCACTAGTCGCTATGATGGAGTCATTAAAAAGCTCTATTATAATCTAGACGATATCGCCTATGTGGGAAAGCCATTAGTAGACATAGAGACGGAAGCTTTAAAAGGTACTGTAACTGCGTTCCTCGGTTTTACCAAAATGATTACTGCTGTCCTTTTGTCACTGGGTCCTAAGGACAAGTGATCTTGACTTTTAGTGACTCACAGGATTAGACAGGGCTTAGAAGACAAAATTAGGGAAACAGAAGATTCCTGTGATACATGGTTTTCTTTTCTTTTTCTTTTTTAAGACAAGATCTCATTATGAAATTCAGGCTGGCCTTGAGTTTGCTCTGTACTGATGGTGGTGTCAAGCTCACTCACGCTACCCTCCTGCTCAGCCTCCCGAGTGCTGGGATTACAGGCGTGCCACTATGCCCAGCTACACAATTGTTTTTGATCAGTTACCGAGTTAAAAATATGTAAAGTAAGACTTCATTTATTGGGGTGCTGCCATCGAGAAACCTTAGTGTTCAAAGAAACAGCAGGTACACAGGAATTAAAGATCCGGGTCCTGCGCATAGGTCACTAAGAACAAATGGAGTGTGAGGTAATCAAAATAACTGGATTGCTCTGTTTAACACTTGTGTTAATCGTCTTTTCATTACTATAACAAAATACCTGACACAGGCTACTTGCAAAGAAAAGGTTTACTTGACTCACAATTCTGTATGTTCAAAGTTGATGATTAGGCAGCCCCTTGGTTTGGCATTTGGTGAGGGTGGCAGGGTACGTATGGGAACAAGTGAGCATGTCATGACCCAGAAGAGACAGAACTCAAGGGTATCAGGAAAATTACCTTCTGAGAGTGCATTTCCCCGCCCCCCAGTGTCCTAAGGACTACGCCCCACTAGCAGTTCTCCATAGTGCAGCCATTCCTGTAATCACAGTGGACCCTTAGAGAATACTCAGATCATACCAAACCATAGCTAGCTAGCTAGCTGTCTGTCTGTTTGTCTGTCTGTAAAGTAATGGGTGGTTGTTATGAAAGCCAAACTTCTTCAAGAAAAACAGGGCTGGGGAGATAGCTCAGTGGAGTAAGTGCCTACCTGGCAAGTACAAGATCCTGAATGTGATCCCTGATACCAGGAGGAAAAAAAAGTGAGACTCTGAAATATTTTAGGGCCAGCCAAATAGCCAAGCAGATTAAAGAGCCTGCTTAGGCAGATGCAGGCGCCAGGAGTTGGATCCCAGGCCTGTTGTGCCAGCCCTGCCTCCGGGGTGTGCTGAGACGGCGATTGAGACTGGGCATGGTAGAGCGTGCCTGTGATCCCAGCGCTTGGGAGGCTGTAAACAGGAGGATCACTATGAGTCCAGTCTCTGCAGTGAGACCCTGTAGACCCTGCCCTAAACAAAAGAAAGAAAGAAAGAAAGAAAGAAAGAAAGAAAGAAAGAAAGAAAGAAAAACAGTGAACATGAAGAAGCCAGTGTTCAGAAAAAGGAGCAACCGTGGATCTTACAAGTTGTAGGTGTCACGACAAAAGGAAGTCCTCATGGAAATGCTGCAGATGAAAGGTACAATGTGAGCAGTCCCTTGGGGACAGGTAACCGGCTCACAGCTAGAAGTCACCAAGGCCGTGCCCTTCGGGAATAGCTTTGACAAGGAGCTGGAAGAGAAGCAGGTTCTGGCCGGACCCCTGTGCTAGCATCTATAACATGAAATAGTTCACACTGTTTCGCTTTATGGTTCCCTGTGAGGAATTCTAGCTTAACAAGTAAAGAAATAAATTCAACTAGAAAGGGTTATTTGCTCAATGGCCAGTGACAGAGCAGAATTTTTTAAGTGTTCATTTATTTTTTGCAGTGCTGAAGATTGAACCCAGAGCTTCATGTATGTTAGGCAAGTGCTCACCCCTGAGCTGCACCCCCAACTCAGCAAGGCCAAATTTGGGGTTTAGATGTCCTGAGTCACACAGCAGAACATTTTCCTATAATGTTGTCTCTAGAAGTTAGAAAATAGCTTATTGGAAGTTTTCGTTATTTAATTTTTATTGCTGTTAAAGCAGGATATATAGTTATAAAATGCATAAGAAACAAAAACTAGAAAGCAAATATATATGTATTCTTCTATCCAGAAATAACTGCCACTTAACAAATAAGTCAATCATTTTCTAGGACATCTATATACATACAGTGTTTTTTAAAAAACAAGATAATGGGACTTGGGAGATAGCTCAGTGGAATAAGCACTTCCCTGGCAATCTCAAGGGCCTAAGTTCAAGCCCCGTATCTGCCCAAAAAAAAAAAAAAAAAAAAAAAAAAAAAAGTTGTACATGCTATAATGCATTATTTGCTTAGTTAATGATCTGTGTGTTTTCATGACAATAAATTCTTATTTTGTCTAATTCCACGATGTGTTTTCAGTTTCCCAAATTATCCCCAATGTCCTTGAAATGTCAGGGGTTTTCAAATTGGGATCTCATGTGTGACTATGTGTTGCACCCAGTCGCGGCATTGCTTAAGTGTTCTTTACCCCTAGCTCATTATTTTCTATTTTTTAAAAAGTTAGAGTATAAGAACTTTATTTTGTTAATAAATACGTCTTAATTAAGCATTTCAGAGGCTGGGAATAGAGCTCAGCCATGCAGCGCCTACCTGGCAAGCGTGGGGTCCTAAGTTTGATTCCCAGTACTCCCCCAAAAGAACATTTCAGTGGTGAGCATTTTGGTTCCTTGCATTGAAAAATGCAGCTACCAATCCTCTCAGTTTTACATTTCCTGTAAATTGGAAGAGGGCTTTAAAAACTGGATTTGAGTTAAGTACTATTTCTAGAATACATTCTGATACTGTACACTTCTTCCCATCAGATACACGAGACCAGAGAACAGGCCATTGCGATACTGAATTTACATGCTAATGAAGACAAGGGTACCCCTCCACGGGCAGTTATGTTTTCCCCTCTGTAGCCTGCAGGTTATCTATTTGGTGTTACTTTGTTCTATGAGGTGTTTTGTTGTTGTTGTTGTTGTTGTTTCGGTACCAGGGATTGTACTCAGGACCTTGTGCTTGCCAGGCAAGCGCTCATTCTACTGAGTCATCTCTCCAGCCCCATCGTTTACCAATTTTCACAGTGAGGAGCTGATATCATAACTTTGGTGCTAATTCTCTCCCCTCTGTCTTTCTCTGTTTTAATTATTGATGGCCTCTGTTTAATGTGTTACGATCATTAAGCTTTTGGATGCTCCAGTTGTTTTAGCTGTGACTCCTTCAAGCTGGCTCTCCTATGTTCTTTTATCATAGCCCTATTAACTTTTAGAAGCTAGCTTGCTTTGGACCCAAGAAGTTTCAGGACTGGCCTTACATTTTCCCTCTCGCAGTGTTTGAGTCCTCTATTTCTTCAGGAGTTCTTCCTTAGTGTGAAATACAAATGAGACCATGATGTGGGCACTAAGGGTACTTTCTACTCTCTTGATTCTACTTTAGTATTTTTATTGTCCCCCTCTTCTTCTTCTTCTTCTTCCTCCTCCTCCTCCTT